TCCACCCGGCCCTCCTCCGGGGGAAGGAGTGGTGCGGTCACCATCTCCTGAAGAGCAGGATCCAAGGGCTCCGGGTTGCCCGTCTCAGGGCTGCCGCCTGCCCTGGCATTTCACGAGCTTGGCAGGGGCGGAGGCGGGCTGCGCCGGTTTCCTGCGGCCAGCTCCACGCTGCGGCCGTTGTGAAGGCTGCTGTTGTGGCCGCGCCGGAGCGAAGGTGGAGGCCGCAGGAGGGCGCCCTCGGCGACGAGCAGACAAAGGGGCTGCAGCCGGTGGTGGGGTGGCTACAGCAGCCGACCGCCGGGGCAGGATGTGTCGAAACGCCTCCGTCTGCTTCTGTGCGACGCGAGTTACGTAATCAGATTACTTTTTTCAAGTAACTAGTAAAGTAACGCATTACTTTTTAATTTACAAGAAAATATCTGTTTTCAAATAATATACTTTTTCAAATAAGTAAAGCCTGTTACTTTTTTTCCCATTTAATGATTGAAAGCTCTCCTGTCCCCTTGTTCAGAGAAATCGGGAGTAAGATGTTACTTTAGTTCTAGAATAAATGTGAACATGCATTAATTAATCTCACTCACTCACAAAAAAAATCAGATTTAGTTTTCCTCAAAATTAATAAAAACAGTTAAACGCAACTCAGAATATGACTCAAAGCTGCAATAATTAAAAATGTTAAATAATACAAATAACCTTTGTGTATTTAATCCCATTTTATTAACCGATTTGCTGCTAACCTTCAGTGATCCAATTCAACCATACTAATAAGCAAAAATTACACAAGATAAACTAACATTTCTTCTTATTTTTTTATTGCTGAAGAGTGTTGAACTTTCTGTGTGCTACTGTACAGACGTGAATTTACATTTCCTTCAGCCTGAGGCTTTTGGTGTGAAAGGGCTTTTATATTTGCCAAAAATAGAACTTTTTATATTAAAAGCAAACAAGCAAGCCCAGCCCAGATTTAAAAAGTAACGCAAAAGTAACGTAACGCATTGCTTTCAATAAAAAGTAACTAAGTAACGTAATTAGTTACTTTTGTAGGAAGTAACGCAATATTGTAATGCATTACTTTTAAAAGTACCTTTCCCCAACACTGATCTGGTGTTCTTTGTGAGATATTTTGGATGTATAGTACCGCATAATGTACTTCCATCTACTATCGTGTTGTCTGTGTTGTGATATTTTAAATGTAATAACACTATATATGTGTGATAAAATACTTGTCTCTTATTTCTCTTGTAAAACCAACTGTAGATTTTGCTGAGCCTCTGGCAATTCCCACTTACATGGAACCAGACCTGCCCGGCCCCAGCTTCCCTACTAGCAGTGCGCTGGACAACCAACCTCCAGAAGAGAGCATCTCCATCCTCACCTCCATGGGCTTCCCCAGACATCACACAATCCAGGCGCTCAAAGCCACAGTGAGTGTCCTGCCTCATCTGCTTCATGTACAGTAGCCTGAAAAAGAATTTGGACAACTAAAAATGTATGAATGTCATTGCGTTATGATACACTGCACCTGTGGTTACTCTTCTAGGACACCTGCGTGAACTTTAGTGGAACCGACTCCACACATCCACTAAAAAATGACCTTGAGACTAGTTCCACTAAAAGTTCAAGTGTCATTTGTTTGCAGATGACACTTTTTAAAAAAAATCTAAAACAATGAAATTCATACAATTCATACAGTGTCCAATCGTGTCTAGATATTTTTTAGGGCCACTGTATGTAGTATGTTCATGTTTTGAACTGTTACTTCTTGCTGCAAATTGTTTGATATGATTCTTTGGCAGGAATATAATTAGCATATTGTCACGTTACACAGATGCAAAAACATGTTCCAGCATGTCTGGGTCAGTTTTGTCACTTGTTGCTCATCAACCAAGCATGTGAGAATTGAGAAGCCATCTCTTCTGTTGAACTGCTTGGCTAACCTTCACATTCCCTTAATGGATACTTGAAAGTTTGTCTACACTGTTTATAATTGAAGGAAATGCTGTTTGTGTTGGTTTAAAGTTATTTGGAGATTATTCAGTTTGTTATTCAGTCAAAGTTTACTTGCTAACTAAATCTTTGATGAAAGTACTTTTCAGGGTTTTTTTGTTGTATTTGTGTGTGTGCATTTATTTCAAAGAAATGTATCGTTTTATTCAGCAAGGACATTTTAAATTGATGAAAAGTTAAAGACATTTATAATGTTATGAAAGATTTCTATTTCAAATAAATGCTTTTCTTTTGAACTTTCTATTAATAAAAAAATCACCGTTTCCGCACAAAAAATTTAAGCAATATTAACAACCACTGTTTTCAAAATTGATCATAATAAGAAATGTCTCTTCAGCAGCAAATCAGCTTATTAGAATGATTTCTGAAGGATCATGTGACACTGAAGCCTGAGGGTTTTTTTGTTGTATTTGTGTGTGTGCATTTATTTCAAAGAAATGTATCGTTTTATTCAGCAAGGACATTTTAAATTGATGAAAAGTTAAAGACATTTATAATGTTATGAAAGATTTCTATTTCAAATAAATGATACTCTTTTGAACTTTCTATTCATCAAAGAATCCTGAAAAACAAAAGTGTCCACAAAAACAAAAAAAATTAATTCTGAAGGATCGTGTGATATTGAAGACTGGAATAAATTGCATTTTAAAATATATTAAAAGTTATTTTTAAATATTACTGTCAAATAAATGCAATAAGTGAACACAAAACGTCTTTCATAAACATCTTAAAAAAATAAATTTTACATAGTTGCACTAGTTGATCCAGAATTTCCTCTTTAATAATTTTACATTTTAGTTTTCAGTTTAACTTTAATGAATTTTATAACTCCTATGTTTAGTCTAACCTTTCAGATCTTCTTGTCAAGTGAAGCTCTTGTAAGGTATTTAAACATAATCCTTTATAGTAGGACATGCTTCTTCTTGAGTATTTCATTTTGTGTTTTAGACATTGTGGTTGTGGTTGTGTTGTGTAAAAATAGCCTCTCAAGCAGCCAATAATGGCGCAGTAACAAGTGGACGTCTTCAACCTACGTCGTTCACATTTGTCCAGGAAAAGATGAGGGCGTCAGGCCACATTTGCTTTCAGTGTTGGCATTTGCAGTGAATCACGGCGCTATTTCAGATTAGTGCCTATGCCTAAATGAGTCTTTTGACCACGCTAGAATGACCTCAGTTAAATCAAGGACTTTCGACGGGTCTGAGCAATTTAAAAATGGCTCTTTGCCTGACGATATAATTTTGGTGTTCAGAGTTTTCTTGTGAAATTAAATCTTGCCATGTTTTTTTGTCCACTCAGGTTGTTGGTAACCTAAAAAAACTGGTCCGTGTTCTCCTGTTCTCAAGTGATTAGAGTATTTTGTCAATGAATTACAATGAACGAACAATGAATTCCAATATCATGAGGTCACATTTAGTCCGTTTTCTGCTTCTTCGTCTGACTACAGAACAACAACTTAGAGCGAGCTCTTGACTGGATATTCACACACCCAGACTGTGAGGACGAGAGTGAGGCTATGTCAGACACGGCAGACACAGAGCCGAACAATATTTTATAATTACATTAATAAATAAAGTATAAATGTTTAAAATTACAAAATTAAATAAAAATATACAATTTAAATTATAAATGTAAAATAAAAAGTATACATTTAATTATTAGAGAAATAAGTCTAAAAATAAAGTATGAATGTATACATTCATAATTTGTAACCATTTATAAATGTTTTAAAGACAAAAGTATTTAAAATTTGATTTATTACAAAAAAAATTAAGAATAAATTTGACTTGTTTTATTTGAAAATGTAATTATTAGGAGGGAAAATAAAAAAAAATGTAATTCACAACTATAAATGTAAATGTGCATATATATGTATATATAGGCCTAACTCAAACTCAGATGTCTTTTTTTACTTCCCTAGGTGGCTGATTTACAATGACCACAAAATATGTTTGTCAGAGAGGCCCCCTAAAGACTTGGGCTACATGTACTTTTACCGGCGCCTGTCAAGCTGCTAGATCTCACATTTAGTCCGTTTTCTGCTTCTTCGTCTGACTACAGAACAACAACTTAGAGCGAGCTCTTGACTGGATATTCACACACCCAGACTGTGAGGACGAGAGTGAGGCTATGTCAGACACGGCAGACACAGAGCCGAACAATAACAGCTTCTCAAACGCCAATGCCCACAGCGACTCCTCTCTGTCTCCAGATCAGGACCTGTCCAGCCCCCATGTCAGAGATGGACCCGGGCGTAAGTGCTTACAGAACACTGAGTTGAACAAACAGCGCTCAACACATACTGAGGATTGCACTGTCTGCATACATTGCTGGATTGATATTTCATTGCTGATGTTGTTTTTTTCTTTCTCAAAGGTTACGAACTGTTTGCTTTCATCAGTCACATGGGATCATCTACAATGTCTGGTCATTATGTGTGTCATATAAAAAAAGAGGGCAGGTATGCTGATTATAATGTCCGTTATTTATTTACACATTTTCATTTTGTGGATGTGTTACAATCAGACTGATTGCAGAGAATATCTGAAGAACCAATGTTTTGTGCTTGTCAACAACAAGCGATAATATATAATAGAATTTTATTTTTTTGAAGTATTAGAAAGTGAAGGAGTATAAATGTTTTTAAACATTTATAAATGTTAAAATGATAAAGAAAACAAAATATAAAAAAAAATGAGGACATTTTTTAATTAAACAATTAACTGTTTTACATATAACTTGTATAAAATAAATCTCATTTAGATTTTTTATGTATATATATATATATATATATATATATATATATATATATATATATACCGGCGCCTGTCAAGCTGCTAGATCCGGACCTTCACATCCTTACGCACAGCCGTTAGGCCAGAGAGGTGTGTGGGGCACCCACTGACACTGCTGGAAACTAGGGAAGCATTTACATCTGTGAGATGGAGAGAGAACCTCTCAGTCCCTGCCAAGACCCACACAGACGCTCATACCACAGGACCGGTCCACCAGGGAAACTAATATGTGTCATCCGTCTGAGTTTTGTTTATATGTTCGTCTCCTGTCTGCTTTAAAGGTACAGTGGGGTTCGTGCAATTTTAGGTATGCAGATTATTTTCCTAATATATTCTCAAAGTATTTGTTATATTTCTCTTTGAATACTTTAAGCTCCTGTGCCAGTATTTTCAAGACATACTTCTTTTGAAAATATAAAGTGTGCCTGCATTTACAAATGTTTTTACTGCCATCTCAGCAGAATGTACTCACTGCAATTCCTTTGGGTTTTACAGTAGTTCAACAACAACAAATCGGTCAGAATGGATTTCGAATAGAGATCATGCTTAGTGGATTTTGTTGAAGCTGCAATCGATCCAAAACATAATGTGATTATTTGACAAAACTTGTTTTTTGAATCATGCCCATGCAGGAAAAAGTTTTAGCAGGCATGTTTATTGAAATATTGGACTATGGTTCTTGTTTGGTAGGTCTTAGTTTGCTCTTATATATATATATATATATATATATATATATATTCTAGCATTCAGAGTGATCCAAAAATGTGGCACCATCGACTTATTATTTAAAGGAATAGTTCACCCAAAAAAATGAAAATCTGCTGAAAATTGACTCAACCTCAGGCCATCCAAGATGTAGATGAATTTGTTTCTTCATCAGAACCGATTTGGAGAAGTTTAGCATTACATCACTTGCTCACTTGCAGTGAATGGGTGCCGTCAGAATGAGAGTCCAAACACCAAATAACAGCATCACAATAAATTCATAAGTAATCCACACGACTCCAGTCCATCAGTTAACATCTTGTGAAATGAAAAGCTGCATGTTTGTAAGAAACACACACTTGACAAGATGTTAATTGATGTCCAGCCCGGGGTCGTCACATTTGGTTGCCGCTCCTTCGTCGAATCCACCGGGTGCGCCGTTCTCGACCCCGCCGCCTCTGCTCACTCAAGCCCGGCCTCAGCTCACCCTAGCCCGGCCTCAGCTCACGCTAAACTTGCAGTGAATGCAAGTTTAGTGCAAGAATTCCGCTCACGCTAGGCCGCCGTGTTTTTCGTTGTGAAAGCGAAACTACTTTGTTTGAAAAGGCGGGTTCATAGAGGAGAAACAATAATGTACAGTATGTGGAAAATAATGTGTTTTTTTAACTTTAAACTGCATAAACACATTTCATTACAGCAAATAATGTTCTTTTTAGCAGCATCATATGACCCCTTTAAGAATATTTTATTTCTACAATATTATCACGTTCAACTTTTATGATAGCTTTCAGTCAGTCTGTGATAGCTGATCAGAAAATGCAACAATATCACATATTCATGCAATGTTTAAGTGCTTTACTTTGATCATATCTTTAGCAGTTTAAAGACTGGGATGCATTTGAAATCGTTCCGTTTCATTGATTTCCAGTCTCAAAGAATGTAAAACTATTTTTATCCCATACCTAAGCAATATGTGATGACATACTGCATATAGAGCAGAATTAAATGCAGTGTCATACATAGAACTATCTCAGATACATGTATGTATTGGTGCTTAGTGTTACCAAATCTCAAGCTCTCAAGCTTTATGACATATCTGACAAACTTGGCTCCGCCTCCAACACCCTTTACCAAGTTCTAACCTTAGACATATCATTTATTTGCTGAAAAATTCATGTCATCAGGTAATGTCATTACCTAACAAAACCTGAACGCTTTCTTGGCAAGTATTCTTTAAAGTGTTTTGTTACACAGTGAGCCTCAGTCTGAAGGTTAGTGCTGAAGTAAAATTTAATATTCATTGTTTTACAACATAATCTCACTCAGGCTGAGGTGGGGCCTGTTCATCTCAATTTATTTCAACTGGATGTTGCACATTCTGTTGTAGATTGTACCCTGTCATGTTTATTTCTATTGTGCACTACCTGTTATGTTGGGAGGTCAGTGTCTTTTGTCCCTTTACCTTGTGCGTCTGTCTTTCTTTGGCTTATCCATCCGAGGTTCTCTCACTCTTTCTTTCCTTCGCTTTCTTAATTTAAACGAATATTCATAGCCATTTCCTCCTGCTTCTTTCTCTCTTTTATTCTTTCTGTTCTCTTTTTGTCTCGATATTGGGTGTGAAAGTGGATGCTTTTACCTCACCTTTCTCAAACATGCCTTGATTTTATTTGTTTTCAGTATGTGCACTAAAAATCTGAGGTTAGTCAGTTGACATTTTGCAATATATTATTGGTCTTTAGTGGGTTCTGTTTTTCATGGAACTGAAGGTTAAGTGGTACGTTTTTATAGTTGAGTTTTTTTTGCAATAAATGTGTGCCAATTCTGTAGTTACTATACAAACTTGCCCACTTGTTTGTTATAAGTTTTTTAATGGATTTTCTGATCCATATATTGTTTAGAAACACAAATACGGCAGATGAAATACGAAAATCTGTTCAAACATACTCGTGACTCATAATGTTTGGATTGTTCAATAAAATCCACAATTGTTATTCTGTGCCATTTTCATGATTTGGTGATGCCAGATTGGAAACAGGAGATTTCAACCGTGCAACCAAAAACGAACAGATAAATGCACTTGTGGAAATAATTTTTTAACAACAGCAACAACCAGGCAAACAAACTCTATTCCAATATTTTATTTGAAAAGATAACTTTTGTTTATGCATCTATCTTTTAAATATTGGGCCAGAGTTAATAAAGCCTAAGGCAAACATTCAGAAAGTCTGCATGTACAAATTCAGAAACAGCTCTGAATGATGCATAACATATATTTGAGTCTCTATTTCTAACGGCTTTAGTAAATCTGGCTATTGCAATAGTAATATAAGTGACTATAAAGAAGGTCTTGTTTAAATGACTCACTTTCTGCATTGCAAAAACTGCTTGTTTGTAGATATTTTACAGTTGTATTCTTTAGATCAATATATATTTTGAAATGCAAAATATTGTGATTATAGTGATATATAAGTCATAGAAATGAAGGGTATAGATTAAATTAGGCATGTCAAGGTCATGCATATAAATAAATCTACAGCATTCAAAAATAAGTATATTCGGCATGCGATCATACATCAGGAGTACTTCTGGAGCATGAATTCATCTAGACAATCACACCTGAGATTGTACAAAGTTCTAGAAAAGGGAAGGTTTGGCCTCAGGCATGAGAGAATCTACAGTATCTATGTAACATTCAGCTACAAAGCACAAGCCTCTTCTAACTGTATCGATGAGCATATACGGGACTTTCCAAATAGTTTCGGATACAGAATAATAAAATAAATACATAGAGCAGTAATTAAATAAATGTAGTAACAAATCATAAATTAATAACACTTGATAATGGGTGCTTGAATGGCTTTGCATGCTTTTTCATTGATATAGTTATTTTAACAAATTAATTCTTGAACTAGGTGGGAATAATAAAAACACACGATGCTACAAATAAAGAACTGGATCAGGGAGACTTTTTTTTAAATAAGAAACATTACTTAGGCTACATCTACATTAATCCAGATACATTTGAAAACACTCCATACACACTAGTGCTTTCAGGCATCCTCACTGAAACGTCAGAAAATGCTGGTAAACAGTCGACGTTAGCCATTGACTTACATAGTAGAGGAAAAAAATACTGTGGAAGTCAATGGCTACCAGCAAATGTTTGGTTACCAACATTATTTGAAATATCTTCTTTTGTGCTGAACAGAAGAAAGGAACTCATCCATGTTTGGAACAACTTGAGGTTGAGTAAATCTTTCATTTTTGAGAGAAGTGCCCCTTTAAATCATCTTATGCGTAAAACATAGATATCTATAGGTAAAATATGCGTCACATGGCTAAACGTGTCATCATTTTCGAATACGTCTGTTTTCACATTTCACCTTACAACATGAAAACATCATTTCAGTTTTATCCACTCTGAGAGCATCCTCAAAAAGCTCTGTTTTCACAGCACAAAAACACCACCTCAGTGTGGACAGAAGGCCAAAATATAGAGAAAAATATGCATTTTTAAATGTATCTGGATTAATGTAAACGCTGCTTTAAAGTACAATAGACCATCTACAGGGTACTACCAGATCTTCTACCTTCTACCTACCAGTTTTCAAACACAAAAAGTGACAACGCAAGTAAAGCTTTGGTGCTTTAGGCTTTTCTTCTGCTTCTGGCTGCATGAAGGAAAAAAATCTATAGGCTTTGCATAGCATTTTAAAATGTAGGACTTTTCTTGAAGCACGTATGCATCATTAAGCACTTGCATGTTCACACTGATGAGCAAAATAAAACATCATGCAAGCTGGAGATGAACCATAACAAGTAAAATGAGTAACAACAAAAATATTAGGGTATAAAACTGTGAAGCTCACAAATAGTTTGGCTTACATTTTGGGCAGCTTTCCAGTTTTCCTGTTAAATCCAGGCTGATAATTGTGGCAAAAGGGGCAGTATATCTGAAATTTTGTAAAATAATCAGCGTAACATTTCAACGATGTGGTATGTTTTACAAAAAGACCTTGATGGAACATAGACTTCTACATCAAGCGGTCAAAGTATGGCAAGGAATGGCTTTTATCTGATATCATACCGATAACATCTCAATTATTTATTTTACATGCAAGATAAGTAAGGCTTTTTAATCTGGTCTGCAAGCTCCAGGAAATAAAGGGGATGATGCAGCAGAGATCAGGTGAGGAGTGTCCAGGGTTGAACTAAGTGCCAGCAAAATCTATAATAACCCCACCCTCTCAAAAAAAGAGGGCAATCGAACCAATACATGAAGTCTACGCAGTACAGTACATGTCTAATCAAGTCACTAATGTGAAGTCCTCTCATCAATTGTGAAATTACGAGACGAATCCAGAATTCCTGCGATTCCCCACTGTTACATTGCAGGTCTAGCTGATATTTTCTCTAAGGCATACTTGTACAATCTTCACCCGGCATTGTGCTCTTTAGGGTAATCGTAAACTGATGTGCAAATCTATTAAAATAGTATCATTCAGCACTCAGTTCTCAGGAATGTAAAGGTGCTCTGTGAAACAAAGTTTGCTTTCTGACAAAGTTCTTCTCATTAAAGACTTTGGATATTTGCCATGGTTAAAGGGTATCCTCGCTCACATATCCAGATTAAAAGCTCTCATGAGTAAGTCCAGGTCTCCTATGTTAGCAGCTTGAAAGAGCTCCGGCTGGTCCAGCATGGACAGTGCTATCCGCAGGGCCGTCCAGATGTTTCCAGACATGACCTGGTGCGAAAGCTGCCGACTCCTGCTCTTCCTCTGCAGACTAAGAGCTGTCAGGAAATGACCGGCTGCCTCCCTGGAATAAATAAATGATTAAATAAATAAAAAAGGGCGTTTCTACAAATGTGGGCACTTTTGGCCCTGTGGACGTTCAGAAAATATTTTACCCCCACATTTTTACTGGTTTACTTAATTTGACCTCTAACAATTTACAACAGTGAACACATCATAGAAATTGTTTTGTATATAAGAGCAAACTAAGACCTACCAAACAAGAACCATAGTCCAATATTTCAATAAACATGCCTGCTCAAACTTTTTCCTGCATGGGCATGATTCAAAAAACAGTGTAGCTAATGAGGTGAACATTTCCACCACATGTATTTTTTTTAAATTATACATTGTTTAATAGCATTCTGTGGTGGAAAATAATGTTGAAAATTATACACATTCTTGCAATAAAATTGCGGAATAATTTGTCTTGCTAAGCCTAATTTTATGGCTTAAATTATATGCATGTTAAATACACAAAATTAAATAATATTTTCACATATGTGACCCTGGACCACAAAACCAGTCTTAAGTAGCATGAGAATATTTGTAGCAATAGCCAAAAATACATTGTATGGGTCAAAATGATCAATTTTTCTTTTATGCCAAAAATCATTAGGATATTAAGTAAAGATCATTTTCCATGAAGATATTTTGTAAATTTCCTACCGTAAATATATTAAAACTTATTTTTATTGGTAATATGCATTGCTAAGGACTTAATTCTGACAAATTTAAAGGCAATTTTCTCAATATTTAGATTTTTTTTGCACCCTCAGATTCCAGATATTCAAATAGTTGTTTTTTATATTTTACCTACTTTTTACCAATATTTTCCTCTATGAAAAAAACGTCAGGGCAGATCTATCTATCATCTATCTATCTATCTATCTATCTATCTATCTATCTATCTATCTA